CATTGTTAGAAGTATGGGGGCCCATCCCTGTCAGAGTTATTGGTGGCCCTGAGACAAAGCTCATAGCTCAAGAATCAGTGCTTTGAAGGTAGGACTGGGAAAAAGCATTTTAAACTAGATCTCCAGGTGATTCTATTCACTGTGTGCCAGACACTGCTAAAGGATTTATGGGGATGATTCCATTGAATACCACCTATGAGGTAGAAACTCTTAGCTGCTCTATAGTTGAAGAGACGGGGGCTCAGAAACAGGCTCCTGATGAGTCTGATGCCAACCAGGTCCTACCCAGTCTCTCTGCCTTCTCTTTCGACCCTGAGTGGGCCTGTCTGCTGGCACTGTGTGTGGGTCACTCTGCAGGGCTCGGGTCATGCTCCCCCTTTGTTTCAGAAGCACGTGTTCTCTGTGGACATGACCTGTGGAAGCTGTGCTGAAGCTGTCTCTCGGGTCCTTGATAAGTTTGGAGGTGAGTGAGTGGCCCTCAGTTGGGGGTGGGATAGAGGAGACAGATGCACTTATGCCACGTTCAGATGCATGCAGATGTTGCAGGAGAGGCTTAGGGTTAAGCTGATCATAACAGTAAAACTAAAATGTATTGAGTACTTAGCACGTACCAACTACTCTTGTTAGTTTCTTATGTGGATCACATCATTTAATCCTCACCACAGCCATTTCAGATAGCTTGTTTGACTAGCTCCATGTTAAACAGGAGACAGCTGAAATTCAGAGACGTTAACTTATCTGGGATCACATGGTCAGTAAATGGTGGAGCTGGGATTTAGCCAAATTAACTAGAACTGCCAGGACTAGCTCTGGAACCATGGCAGTACTAGTGAATATGTTAGTCATCTCCAGTGTATACTGCATGACACATCTGAGTGTCATTTTCTGTTAAAAAAAATTTTTTTTTTGAGACGGAGTTTTGCTCTTCTTGCTCAGCCTGGAGTGCAGTGGTGCGATCTTGGCTCATCGCAACCTCTGCCTCCTAGGTTCAAGCAATTCTCTTGCCAGAGTCTCCC